CACAAAGAAAAAGATACGAAAAAAAAAGAAAAAAGAAAAAAATTACAATGCAGCAACAAACAAAAATCGATAAAAATTGCAAAATCTTTGTTCCTGCTATAGACGCCCCACTAGGTGGAAAACGTAAATACTTGAGTAATTTCCCCTGGTTTTGGAATTGAGCGAGTACTCGTTTATTTATAGACTACTCAAGTGTGTAGGCTACTCGTGGGGGTTAAATACTTGAGTAATAATATATTAACAATAATAATAATAATAATATATATAACATTTCTACGCACTCAGCTACAAGAAAAAAACCCACAGGTTCTGAGCGCTTTACAATACAACAGCAACACATCAACAGTACATTGTGGTCTCACCAAACATCTCTCTCTCTCTCTCTCTCTCTCTCTCTCTCTCTCTCTCTCTCTCTCTCTCTCTCTCTCTCTCTCTCTCTCTCTCTGTATATAGACCTATATATCTCATTAATCTGAAAACAGAAAAGACTGTAGCTGACAGTTGATTGAATAAAAAGATTTACTGATCTCTCTTACTTAATCTACAAGGCAAAGCATTCCAGATCTTGGGGTCATGAAATACGGTACAAATTATGCGCTTTCACTCATTGTTTTAAGTTTCATAGATGATAAAAGTAATTTCCTTAAGACAACCGATGACCTTAAAACTGCGAGTTGGAATAAACAGATTTGATAAATGTGAAGGCACAATATCATTCATACTTGCAAGTACTCGCACATTGATAACTTGATTAGCGCCATCGCATGACCGGTCATTTGTATTTCCACGTGTTCATCCATTCTCCCCTGTTCTGTTTATCTGTCCGTAGTATGACCAGTCACTCGTCATATCCACATGTTCGTCCATTCTCCCCGTTCCGTTTATCTGGCAGTGCAATTGGTCACTAGTCACTAGCACCACACTACTGTGACAGATAACTTGCAGCTCGCCACCACACTGTGCCACCGGTCACTCACAGCACGCCACCACACAGTGCCACTGGTCACTTGCAGCGCGCCACCACGTAATCAGTCACTCACAGTGTGCTATCATATGCTGGCGGTCACTTGCAGCATGCCATCATGTGCCACCAATCACTTGCAGAGCGCCACCACATAATCAGTCACTCACAGCGCGCTACTCTACATGCCACTGGTCCCTTGCAGCACGCCACCAGTCACTCACAGCGCGCTACTCTACATGCCACCAGTCACTCACATCACGCCACTTTCACTTGCAGCGCGCCACCACACTGTTGAACCTAGGTCTGTTAGACAACTCCTCCTGTTTGCTGAGGGCAAATTTCTTGGACAGTCCAGGACTCCTGTCAAACAGGTGGGGGGTGGGGGGTTAAGGTAAGAAAAAAGGTGAGATAAGGTGAGGTGAGATAAGGTGAGGTGAGATAGGGTGAGGTGAGATAAGATAAGGTGAGATAAGGTGAGGTGAGATAAGGTGAGGTGAGATAAGATAATGTGAGATAAGGTGAGGTGAGATAAGGTGAGGTGAGATAAGGTGAGGTGAGATAAGGTGAGGTGAGATAAGGTGAGGT